TAAGTGTGTACAAGAGGCAGATTGTTGTGGACTCCACAAAGCAGTTGCAGGAGTTGATCGTATGTACTCATTTCCTTTAAGTGAAAGCAGATGGAGGAAAAATGGGGAAGAAAAGTCTGTAAACATAATGTATACTGGGAATTGGGCCGAGAAGTTCAGGATCTTTCAGCTCTCACAGTGGCTTTTTATCATCTTCTGTTAAATTTTGTAGCGCTTTCTTCCCCTCTGCCGCTCAGGTCGGTCCCTGGGTCAGCGTGGGTGGGAGAGAAACACACCGTGATGTGGAAACGAGGAGACAGGGGTCCTGCGGGCCATCCTGGAAGCTGGCTCCCCGCCCCCCCCCCGCACACGGGGGCGAAACCGCAGTACAGGGAATTCTAAATGGAGCCAAGTGTTGGAGTTAAGTTTACAGTATTCACTTTATGTGCATTTTTGAGAGCATTTAAAAACTCCGAATAAGAATCCCTGCCCAATGCCTTTTCCACACACACTTAGGATGGTGTGTGTATTCAGGAGATACGACCTTGATTTATGTTCTGTGAGTACAGCTTACCCTTGACGGAAGGCTAGCTTGTGCCCTTGCCATCAAAGAGCCCATTGTGTGCGCCCAAGTGGGACAGCCTCCGCGGCGGCGCGGGCTTTGGTCTGCCCTTGCTGGCCCAGTAGACACTGCTTGTTTTCTTCCTCATCAGCCTTTTTTGGCTGCGCCAGAACACCAGGTGGAGGTGTCTTGTAGATTTTATTGCCACTCCTTGAATAGTTTTCTTTATCACTCACAAGACCAGTCACGGCAGTGCGCAGTGCTGCCTGGTCTGGCCTCGCCATGAAGCCACCATTCCCTCTGCCTGCTGCTACCCTGGCAGCGTTTCACCAGTGGGGCTTGTCCGGGAGTCCTTTGGGTCTTTGAGCGTCTGTGGACATTAGTAAACACGTCTGGCAGCTCTCTGTCATCATATGCAGTTGTTGTGATCTGGATATTCACCGGGACCTGTAGGGTAAAATGCACACACCCCTGCTAATAGCTACTTCTGTCCTGGCCATAGAAATTCTGGTTCCCACTGTCCCTGTTTTGGGGAAGCGTTAGACTCTGGACCACACTTAGCTCTGTCGTAGTTTTACTGCTGGGAGCTTCTGCTCTAAGATGAAATGATAAACTTTATCTGTAGCCACTTGCTTCTCTTATTTTAATAAGCATTGTTGATGCCTAACATTTATTTTCAGCTTTTGTCACTTTAAAATTTATTTATTTTACCCTGGCTGGGTATCTCTGTTGGTCAGAGCATCATCTTGATATGCAAGGTTGAGGGTTTGATCCCCAGTCAGGGCACATAAAAAAATCAACCAATGAATGCATAAATAAGTGGAACAGCAAATTGATGTTTCTCTCTCTTCTTCTCAAATCAATAACTAAAAATTATGAAAAGTTTATTTGTTTATACCTCTCAACCCTCTGCTTCCTTCAATACACATATATTTAGCAGGTAGGAGCATGACATTTGCATTTTGTATCTATTTTAATGGCATTTGCCTCTTTGGGCTCATGTTATAGTTATTGGAGAAGGCCTTAGTTAATTCCTCAATAAGCTTATAAACTTGCTGATGTTAGAACTTGCGCTTGACTCATCTTCTTGTCTATTGTACCTTCTTACACAGTATATAGAACATAGCAGGTGTTTCATACACGTTCTTTACAAGGATGGATAACAACAGTGTCCTAGGAGGAGACTGTGACTGGGACCCATCCTGGTGACATTGCTATGGTATTTGGAGATGGGGGTTGGTAGGGGGTGTCCAGGATACTCCCTGGGCTGGGCAGGGTGTCAGGGCTGTCAGGCACCTGGAGTCTGAGGAGCCCGCTCCAGGGCTGGGCCCCTTGCCGTGACCCCATGTCTTTGAGACTCCCTGCCTTAAGTGCTCACAAAGTGCCGCAACTCCCTGAAGCAGCCCCTTGCCTAGATTGTAAGATTGGCAGCAATGCTGTTGTGATTGGATGTTCCCTTCAGCCTAATCAATGAATCCATTGTTTTGGACAAGAACCATCCTTAGGGATTTGGCCAGGGATAAAAAGTGGCAAAACCAATTAGTAAGGATGGACATTTAAAAATGCAAGTGGCAAGGAACCAGATCAGTAACAAGGATTTTCTCTAATTAAAAAAAAAAAAAGGAATATGCATCTCTCTTCTCCCAATGTCCTAAAATTGGCCACTGACAGGGGATTCTTCTTGCTCGCCACTCCTCCCCTGTCCCCAACCACCCCCAAAGACCCACCTAGTCTAAAATCTGGGTGCCTTTTCTAAGTTTCAGAAATAGTAGCACATGCTGCTGTGGTCCCCTAAAGCTATATTTTCACTGTCATCTCTGACTTGTAATAGGGCTTGGTAATTACATGGTGCTTTCCATCTGCAAGTCTGTAAACACATTATAAATGTTAACTCTTGAATTCCCGCAACACCTCTGCAGAGAGAGGGAGAGATTGCACAGGGCCTTTGTGGCTTAGCTGTTTGTTTGGTCTGGCTACACCTCATCGAGGTGTTCTTTCCGAGATGTGGCAGAGCTGGTAAAGTGCCATCTGCTCTTAGGAATGATGTTCTGTGCTGCCAAATGAAAACCTTGAACTTTCCATGGAAACGAGGATCTGAAGGATAAGGCTTCTGACTTCATCAGGCAGGTATTCCCAGCCTCTACGGTCTGGGCAGACCGTAGAAGCTGGCCAGTTGTTGCTGTTTTGATTATAGACGAGATTGCAAGAATCATTAGAAAACGCTTGTCTATGAAAGGATGCAGAATTTTGTTTCTGACATACAGTTTCTGCCTCTGACATTTAAAAGGAGAAATTCAGTACTGCTTCTTTGGTAGTCGTTTTTATGTTTTTTTATTATTCCTTTTAATAAGTCATATACTTCTAAAATCTGTTTTCTTCTCCTTTTGCATCTGGAAGAATGGAATATTAAAGAACTTTGAAATTTATACTAGTGAATTCCAAAAGCTGAACTAGACTTTAGAGAGACGTATGGAACAGAACAAAGCAATTATCGTGCAGCGCTAAGTTTTGTTGGCTTCAGTACATTGCTTCAGTTCACCAACATGATTTCAATTTACTATGCAAATGTGACAATTATTCCATTAAAAATCTGTTAGAAGGATGGCGTACTTTGTTTCTGCAGCACAATAAATTGTGTTGAGAATTTCATTTTTGCTTTTTGATTTGTTTATTTTGTTCTTAATGACAACTCATTTAAAGTAAAAATCTTTAAAGTGGCAGAATAATGTGATAATACGTCTTCACTAGTAATTTAATACTTGGATATAATGAGTTTATCTGAGAGATTTCATTAAAAACAGCAAGGTGCCCGAATACCAAAGCTGAGATGTTTTTAATCACAGAATTATAGTAATTATACAAATCCCAAGATTTTCATCAGACAGCAAAGGCTCCCAGGGCTAAACATGCACGTTAAACTTAGCACTAATAACTGTGTATTGTTCTCAATTATGGGAAAGAGAATCCTCAGGCCAAGGGAAGTGCTGGAAAGAATGTTATGTGTTCAATGTTTAAGGACAATTAAGAAATAAACTGCTTTGATAACATAACGATATCCACAGGAGTCACATCACCAGGGGGACCGAAGGGGGACTGTCATGTGTGACCGTGGTATATGGCGGGTGACTACTTAGATGGTCAATGAGCCTTTATTGTTTACGACATTGCCAGCATGGGGAGAATGCTAGAAGGAACATCTCTGTCTTCTCTCAGGGGTCCTGAAGTTCTTAATTCACCGCAGTAAAGGGGTCAGACTGCCAGTAAAAGAGATGATTTTTGGCCCAGATTCTGGTTGGGCAAAGATGAAGCAATAACTTAGTATTATGCAGCTTATTGAAATGTCAAATTTTATAAAAAGGCCAGCACATGGTACCCTCAGAGAGCTTTTTTTTTTAAAAAAGAGAAGTGATAGAAAAAGATGCATCTAGGAAGAGTTTTAAAAAAACCTCTCTACACAAGAACTGTTACTTGATCTATTTTCCACCGATTATTCTGTTTTTTTCTAGCTCAGGCCGGTGTTAAGGAAGGGGGAGCATGGGAGGAGCGGTGTGCTGTGGCGATGTGCATGATGGGTGCGGGGTGGAGGAGGGACGCCTAGGGAAATGGCGAGTCAGGTTGACTCACGCGTTACAGGGGTTCGGAGCCGAGGGGCAGAGCGTGTAGTCAGGGAAAGGCCTGGTGATCCATCCGGGTGTTTCTGATGAGTGGTCAGGACACAGAATTCCTCCTAGAGGCCGGAGCAGAGGCAGGCCTGGGGTTCAAGTCCTGAAGGACAGCGTATCGGGTCCCTGCTCTTCTCCCAACTTTGTCCCTCTCTATGGTGAACTCATCGTCCCCTGTCCATGTGCCGTATTGGAGAAGCAGCTACTACAACTGTCCCCTGCCCCCCTTCTGAATGCTGTCGGCCACGTCTACTGTTTGCATGTTTGAACCTCCAGGGCCTGCCTCCTCGCCGGTTAGCTTGAAGACCGCTTTGAGCTTTGAGGACTGCGATGAATGGGCACCCGCAGGTGAGCCCCAGTGGGCCTCGCCTTCTGCAGCCCCACTTACTGTGCAAACCCTGGGCAGAGAAGCCCCCGCCTGCAGTTTTCAGTGTCATTCAAGTCTTGCTTTTCCCCTCTTAACCATCAAAATAGTATGTGCCATTGTGGGAAATTTGCAAGATACATTGGAGTGTAGAGATACAGAAAATTCACGGTTAATCCTTCCACCCAGAGAGAATTCACATTTTGCCGTCCGTGTTTTCTTCTAATCTTGTTCTGTACCCCTCGTTTTCTGTGTACCTTACTCTGCAAATGCATGCTTGCATTCTGATTTACAGACACTTAACAGTATTTAACCACCTGTCATAAACATTTTCCATAAACCTAAAGGCGGCCTATTGAATATTGATTACCATCGTGAACATAAGGGTGTTGATATGTTGATTAAGTGTTACTGTCATTTGGTCTCTTCCCAGGTCCACTACTGTCCTCTGCCGCAGATTTGGAAGGCTGTCATGGGCATGAATGTGAAAATTTGGAGGTTTCAGCTCGCTTGTTGCTTCTGCCTGGAAGACTATCCTCTAGAAGCAGGAAAAGTGATCCTCGTGCAAGCTGACTCCAAGAGACGAGAAGTGTTTTAGAAGGAAATGGATGAAGGCAGCTCAGGGAGCCCCAAACGCGTGCTCCCTGCGGTCTAGTCGGGGGAAGCCCTTCCGCGGGGCCCAGACGTTCTGGGATGTCACCAGTGCTGGACACATGGCTGATTCCTGAATGACGATGGTTCGCCGGGGGCTGCTTGCGTGGATCTCTCGGGTGGTGGTTCTGCTGGTGCTTCTCTGCTGTGCCATCTCTGTCCTGTACATGTTGGCTTGCACTCCCAAAGGCAACGAGGAGCAGCTAGGGCTGCCCCGGGCCAACAGCCCCACGGGGAAGGAAGGGTACCAGGCTGTCCTGCAGGAGTGGGAGGAGCAGCACCGCAACTACATCAGCAGCCTCAAGAGGCAGATCGCACAGCTGAAGGAGGAGCTACAGGAGAGGAGTGAGCAGCTCAAGAATGCGCAGTACCACGCCAGCGATGCTGCGGGCCTGGGCCCTGAGCGGGGCGCCCCTGAGAAAACCCAGGCTGACCTGCTGGCCTTCCTGCACTCACAGGTGGACAAGGCGGAGGTGCATGCCGGCGTCAAGCTGGCCACCGAGTACGCCGCAGTGCCTTTTGATAGTTTCACCCTGCAGAAAGTGTACCAGTTGGAGACTGGCCTGACCCGCCACCCCGAGGAGAAACCTGTGAGGAAAGACAAGCGGGATGAGTTGGTAGAAGCTATCGAGTCAGCCTTGGAGACCCTGAACAGCCCTGCAGAGAGCAGCCTAAATCAGCATCCTTATACAGCCTCGGATTTCATAGAAGGTTGGCAAGTTTGTGGATTGGGGTAGGAAGTAGAGGAAAAGGCATCTGGGTCCAGCCCCCCAGGCAGGTCACAGCTGTGGGAGGCTGGCAGTTGGCTCTGGGGATGGCTGTTGGGAAGTTCTACGTGAGCGACACTGAAGGTATATAGTGTGGTTTTTATTTCTCAGAAACATCTGTTTCCACTTACTTTCTCATGGAAACCGCAGTCATTGAGTGGACAGATTCATTGTTTCTTGGCAGAGGAAAGTAGAACTTGCTTTCTTTTAAAAAAAATAAAGAAATAAAGTAAAACAAAATGTAAACATAAAACTTTGAAACCCAAGAGGACTGTGATAGGCAGTTTTAATTTATCCCTTTTCACAGGCATTTCTCCCCAGGCACGGCCTGGTCGTGAGGCCCAAGAACAGGAGAAGGGCAGCAAATGTGCTGTATAGTTCTTACGTTTGCCACACGCTGTTCTAGGGACTTGACACATACTAATTCACTTTTTCCTCATAATGACCCCATTAGGGGATAAGGGAATAGAGGTTCCAATTAAGTAAGTAAATTACCTAAGGTTGCTCAGTTAGTAAGTGACAGAGCCAGGATTTGAACTGCGGAGGTCGGATTTCACAGCCCAAGCTGGTAACCGCTAGGTTGTATATTGTGTGGATGGAGCCTAAGGGGCATATGGAAGCTAGTGAGATGAATGACTGAGCTTTTGCTTATAGGCACAGAACAACGTCGTTGTAATTTGTGTTTGATTTTGTCTAACTTCAGAAGAAAGCAGCTTGTCTAGTTTCTTGGCAGACTCGTTTGTATTTTCTCCCTTATCAATTTTCCCATTGTTACTGGTTCAAAATCAGCTAATAATCTGGGAGAGGAAGTGCCTCCAAAGGCATCCAGCTCTTCCCCCGTTTCTTGAGAGATCCAGTCCAACTTCCCCGACGTGTACCATAGCTGTGTCCAAATATCCCCTCACTGCCTAAGCTCTGTGCCCACCATCTCTCCTCAGCCTGCGGGCAACACGGCCTCTCTGCAGTTGTGGCAGAAACCCTTCCACTGCTGTTCATGCCTGTGTGCGCTTCGGACATTTTCCTGTCGTATGATTTTCCCCCACTTTATATGTGAACTATAAATTCATGCAATTTTGTGATAGTATCATTTTTCATAGACGTAGAGCGAGGTCAAGAAATCTCTTACAAGACCAAGCTTTCGGTGTCAGGATTTTTTTTTTAACTCACTTAGATGAGGTATTAAAATGCCTGGCACACTCAGCAGCTGCAAGTATAAATTCATGGCAAGCACTCCGGCTCTGAAATACCATGATGATGCAGCCTCAGACTTTATAGTGTTCCAGAATTTATGGAACATTTCCACATATATTATCTTACTCGCTGACCCCCAGGGAAATCATTAAACATCCTTAAAAATGAATCCTGGTTGCCACTGGCCCTGAATTATGCTACAGAAGCTGTCCGCATACAAAGCAATTTCAAAAGAACTCAATTACAAGTCAGAGTCTACAATTTGGAATGTTTACCCTTGTGATTTTTAACCTGTGTTCGTATTTGAAATCTCCACCTGCTTTTCTTACACATCTTAATGCATAGGACTGCTGTTCTCTATCAGCAGTGACACAGGCCTCTTGTCCCCGAGTGTATGTGCCCTGGGATGCGGCTGACTTCCCGTTGGAGGCACTGTACTCGCGGTGGCGCCGTGTTGGTTTCACGGGCAGCACACAGCCTGCATTTCAAAGCAGATCAGTCCACACGCACTTTCCAAATGTGGTGAGAGTCTCGTCAGCGCTTTTCAGACGATGAGTGAATAGGCACACGCGCTTTAAATATACAGGGGTGGGTAAAAGCAGGTTTACAGCTGTGAGTACACAAAACAGAGTTTATTCTTGTGTTGTTATTTATTCGTTGTTTCCCATTTGAATGAACAACTGTAAACCTACTTTTGCCCATCCCTGTATTTACACATATTTGACTGTCGTGAGAAGCAGTTTCTTTCATTTTCTTGCTCTTGTCACAAAATATTGTGGGGGCAGTCTTTCATAGCCTCGGGAAATGGGGCATTCTGAGAGACGCCACCAGTCAGAGGAAGTTGCAGGGAGGCAGAGATAAATTCAGCGTAAGGAGTAATTCTGAAACAGTGCTGTTTCAGAATGAAGCAGGGCTCCTGTGAGTATGAGGATCAGCTGACAGCTGCTCGGCCGGGGGCTGGAACTCGTGCTTCTAGTCTCACAGAGGCGGTTGGACCGAATTATGTTTGAGGACCTTTCAATCCTGATTTACGACTCTTTGATCTATACCTAGTCAAGGAGAGAGAAGGGGGATGGAAAGGGTCTCATCTGAAATCTGTGTTCTGTGATGAATTAGAGCAAGTGACAGGATCTTATAGGGGTGAAGTACAATATATCTTTGGAGTAACGTATTTGGGTCTCCAAGCATAACCTTAGAGAGGGAGAGTTTGTGTTTGGGAGTTACTGGGCCGAAAGTTGGGGCAATTTAGAAGTCCATGGGAACATTTTATGTTACTAGTGAGATGTTCCACACACTCAAAGCTTTAAACAAAGGCGACAGATTTGCCGAACCCCGAACTAGTACAGTAAACACGGAGATTCTTTGTGCTTACAGCAACGTGATCAAAGCCCTGGAATGCTTCCAGATGATAATAGGCACATGAAACCGAAGGCTTACGGTGAGGCAGGTGGCATGACGATGTGAGTGTGGGAAGCTGTGCGACTTTGACCAACACACTTAAGCTCCTTGAGCCTTGGTCTCACATCTGTCAATAGGGGGCCCGGCCTGGATGTCCCCGAGGCCCTGCCCAGCCCCAGCCTTCTGCACAGTACAAAGCACTGCTTCCACTTCTGGTCTTCGCTTTGCCAGGCAGCCGTCCCTTAGATGCTCTGCCTCCCGCTCTGCCTGTTGACCAAGGACACACCACCTCCCCTTGGGGAACTTCCTCCATAAAAGGAGGAATTCAAACAGATTATTTATAGTTTGGTCTGACTGCGTCCACTTTCTACAATTCTATGAAGCTTATGAAGGGAGAATACCACCTTGATGACTATCTAATTTATGATCTACATTGATTTAATTCTTACGTATCTCTAAAACACAGAGGGTGCAATGTTTTCCTCTTTTCCCTTCCCCCAGATGTTTCGTTGGCACTGATTTTTGTGTTGGATTCTCACACGATTTTTTTTTGTTACAACCATCTGGGAAAAGAAGTCCAAGTAGAAAGAAAACCGTGACCAGACCCTGTGCCTTTGGACGCCTAACTGTTCATCTCTCCAAGGCAACGGGAACCCCTTCCTTGTGCATGTAGTTCAGTTGCTCCTTCAGTGTGGGGTGTACAGGCTCTGAGCAGCACAACCTGGGGCTTTGACTTTGTATCTTTAAATAGAGCTCTCAGACATAGATTTGATGTCATTCCATAGAACAGTTTGGCTTTTGAATTATTCCACTTTTACAACCCAAACATCTGATCATGTGAATGCCATGCGAGGCATTTGTGACTACTGACCCCATGGGGCCACCCTCTGTCACCAGCCCATGCAGCCCACCCTCCTGCAACTTTTGCAGGGTTAGTGGTGGCAAGAGAGGGTCAGACACTGGAAGACTTGATTCGGGGCAATGTGGAGTCAAGCTGTGATCCACTAGAAAGTGAAGGTTTCGAGGGCACCCTACGATATGTTTTAAAACGAGGGTGTAGAACTATACAACCTTAGCAGCTGCCTGCACAGCAATCCCAACATTCTGTGCTCTACAGCCGAGCCTTCATGCTTTCTGTGGAGCTAAGGCAAGGCGTGGAGATCCTGAGCTTTCAACTTCCATTGTCTGTTTCATCATAACCTCTAAGGGACACCTTATGACCACTTTGCTAAAGCGTTTTTAGACAAGTCAAATCCAGGTCCTGGGGGCTTGGAGAGCAAGGTACTTGGGACCATGAGTATGTGTGATGTGCTTCTTTGTCAACAGCTCTGTGACTTGTAGTAGAGATGTCGAGGCAGGCATTCAGATGCATTTCTGGGAACCTGGGGAGGGGTGCAGTGCGGAAATACACCAGAGCAGGGATTCCAAACAGTGGGTGGGCCTAGCCTGTGTTTGCAAGAGAGTGTGGTGCAGGGAGACCAGCTGGCAGGCAAGACAGCAAGGACTTCAGGTCTTGAGTTGCCTCAGTTCTCAGCTGGCATCTCCAGGGAAGTGAGGGCAGCAGAGCTCAGGACAGCCCTCCTGAGCCCCCTCACGTCGTCACCGTGCCCTGGACCCACCGCACTGGTCTGTTAAGGTCTGAGCTGACCCGAGTTCCCCTGTCCCCTCTATTCCATTTGCTCCCACAAATCTCCTCATTTGTTTCTAATTGCTTGAAGTTCCTATAAGGAGGGAGAAATGCTCGTTATTCTAAAATCAGAGATTCAGAAGCTTAAATGCATAGAATTCTATGCAACAGAAAGCAAGAAGGAGCTCCTATCCTTTGCGACAGCATGGATAGAACTGGAAAGCATTATGCTAAGCAAAATAAGCCAGGCGGTGAAAGACAAATACCATATGATCTCACCTTTAACAGGAACCTAAACAACAAACAAACAAACAAGCAAAATATAGCCAAAGACCCTGAAATAGAGAGCAGGCTGACAGTGACCACAGGAGAAAGGGGAGGGAATATCAGGGGAAAAGGGGAAGGGTTTACAGGAACAAGTATAAAGGATACATGGACAAAAACTAGGGCGGGTGGAAATGGGAGGGAGGTGGGGAGGGCTGGGGGGGTGGACTGGGATGGGAGTAAAAGAGAGAAAACTGTAATTGAACAATAATTTTAAAAAAAGCTTAAATGCAAATAAATGGCTTGAAGCTATAGTTTGGAGAGTGAATTCTCCCCTTGGTGAGAGTGAGAAAGAGTGTCCCAGCCTGGGTTTTTGCCACTGGGAGGAGCCCCGCCCTCCAGCCCTGGGCAGAAGAGCCCGGCACTAGAGTAAATGCTTTGCTGTCACAGAATATTTTGAAATT